CATGATGGTTGTCCCCCTTTAGCACGTAAGCGGCGCCTCCCATGGACCGGTCTGAGCCAGGAGAGTGCCCCGGCCATTGGACTTGAGGTCATGATCCAGTGCTACTGACGTTGGTGGRGCCATCCCATCGGGCAACTCCTAGCCTCTAAGTGCAGAAAGGCTTGTCCTGGCCTGCCTTGGCCAGGACGCCGCATGGGTTTCTTCCACTGTAGAACTACCCCCGTGACAACCAGGCACCAACCAACCAGCACGAATGTGTAGTTGTAGACCACGAGGCCACCACAATTGCCACGTGTCCTTTGTAAGATCCACCAATCTGAGGATCCTCCCTCACACATGGACGGTGGATATCTTTTGAAGTCTTGGGTCTTGAGTCTTCCTGACAAAACCAACGTTTTTGGCTTTTTTGGCTACGAAGTGAACAATCCTCAATATAAACATGGCCTGGTGTGGTCTAGTTATGGTCCCAAAAACGATATCCGATCCGCCCTCCATCCGGAACTTATAAATTTGGAAAAGCAATTTCAGAATTCAAACTGACAAATGCGAAGGAAGGTTCGGCCTGGCATAGTGCCAAACTAACAAATATAAACCCCCAACTCAGCACTCGTTGAATGATATTTGATACCACCGCCTCAAACTCGAACCATGTTCAACATTCACCGCCGATAATGATAAATGCAGAGCTATGATTATCATGCTATATGATGCATGGCATGGACTATGATTATCATGTTATATGATGAGGCCCATAGGCACGGTTTAATTCTGTGCTACCACATGTTCTGAAATTAATTAAAGAGTAGGGGTGGTCACGAGTCGATGAGTTATTTCAGTTCGGTTTGGTTCAGTTTAAATCGAATTTTAAATAAGCTCGATGTATAGATTTGTTTGTTAATCGAGTTTAGTAAAATTTGATTCATGAGACTCATGAGATTAATCAAGCCTAATATAATATATATACATACATATAAATATATATAATAAATGTTTTTATTATATATATATATATATATATATATATATTATTTGTATTTTTATGTATGATAATAGGTAATTTTTTTGTATGTATAGTAAAAACCATATATTTTTATTTTTTAGAAAAAAGCTTGATTTGCAGTCAAGCTTGAACTTACAAACTTTTTAACTGAATCGAGCTCAAGCTCAAGTTTTTACGAGCTCAAGCTCGAACCTAATACTATTTCTATGAATTGAACTCGAATAGCCAAGTATCCAACTTGACTCAGCTTGAATGCACCCCTATTAAAGAGTTTTTTTGTGATTTGGTAAACCAATCTACTGTACGATTAAAAAAGGACAAATTATCAAACCCTAGGCCAATTCTAATGGCCTTTGGAACTACTCTTGAATGGGTATGGAACCTCCCAAAAAAGGTAGGTGTGCAATACAACCCTTTCTTGCATTCTTGTTTTTTTTTTCTTTTGCTTTTTTCATTGACTATTGTCACTAAGATAAGCATGGGAGAACCCAGATCAGGAATATACCTTAGGACTCTCTAATTTATTGTAGGTTTTCGAAGACAACTCAATTCATTTGTTCATCTTGATTCATCCTCTTTATCTATTACTAGAATTTAACTTATAAAAGAATATGTATCACTAATAATGGTTATAATTAGTCTATGAAACAAAACAATTATATCATGTTGCACTTCTATTGAAAACTCTAGTGAGCTAATTCTCTATAGATGTAGCTTTATTTCTCTTTAGTTTGTACATTTAGAGGTGCTAATTAAAAGGGTGCAAAAGTTTTCTCTCGCTTTTCCTAATATTTTTTCGAAAGACATAAAATTATAATGCGAATAAACTTCAGTTTCGAGATACATGTCTAACCCTAATTAGGTCGACACACGATCTATAAAACCCACAAAGGCACAAACCCTTAAAGCAAATAATGACAAAAGTTACTCTTATATTTGATTGGCTACTTCGCCCTACATATAAACCAAAATTGATGTGTATGCATGATGACGTGTAGTGGTACGGTTGCCACGCATGTAAGGGACAATGTTGGCCATATGACAACTATTCCATGGATTTGAATTTTATGGCTACATTACTGTGAATCATCGATCTCTTTTTCTTTTTCTTTTCATCTTCCTAATTCTACATGCGTGGCTACTTTTTCTTAATATAATATTTCTTACATGGGGTCCATTCCATCTGTAGCTTGTGGCAGCGTGCGGGTACAACACGTGGAAATAGTAGTGTTTACAAAACAATGGGATAAATTCATCAGCCTAATTCGATTGCCATGTCATTTTTTTAGATTTTCTTTTTTTTTTTATTTTGAACAGAAAAACAGTAAGAGCTGATAGCACCATATATGTCATAACTGCAAATTGCTTTAAAGAGGAAAACAGAAAAGTTGAGCTTTTTGGGCATCTAAATATAATATATACCTTTTGAGATTTGAGAGATAGAGAGTTGTCAAATTTGCAACTCTTTCGCGGCACACGCATGCATGCTGTCCAAAAGTTAGTGACTATAGTCTATAGTGATTTTACACGTGATATTACAGTCTATGCATTTCAACTAATAGCTTTCTCAAGTCATCTACAACAACCATACAGGCCAAAAAGTCGTTTCTTTTTCCCACAGCCAACGAGCCTATTTATCCAAATGCAAACGTTATCTGTAATGAAAGCTATGCCTTTTGGTTTATAGTTAGAACCAGAATCAGGATGATCTATTATTATTTTCATAGTCTCTTTGGTTTAGACAGTAATTGAAATGGGAATTCGAATAATCATCTATACTACCTATAAAAGGGTGAATGTCCTTTTTTCTAAAATTTTCATTCGATGTTTTTCATACCCTTATCTAAATATAAAAAAGGGCATATCTCATTTTAAAAACTGCCCATAAATTATAAATAGTTTTGTTTTAGAGATAYTGTTACGTGCAAATAGACATACACGTTTACTAATTTACTCAAATGGAGGAATATCATTCCAGCAGGAATTTGAATGGAATTCCAATTCTTGTTCAAACAAATACCTTGGCCATTCTGATTCTGATTCCACACCCCTATTTCCACGAACCAAAAGGACTTGTTTGAATTTGAAACCACAAATCATAAATTCAAGTAGAGCATGGCCTCCAATTCAATGTATGTCCCATGGATAGAAGTTGCTTGTGGATTTGGTTACTCCATAACCCGAAACATATTTTGTTTCGGCCCAGCTCCGGAGCTGCTACAAACAAGATGTGCAATGGGCTGCAAAATCCAATGAAAAGTAAACACATATTTTGATGGTACATCCGATATCAGTGATGTGGTTACTCCTGATTGGGCTTCATACATCCTTGCACTCAGTAGATCCGAAGTGCTTTGGTCCTACTACCATCCAAGCTTCATGAATATTTTTCCACCTACTACTATTCTTTAGGTTACTTCTTAATTGCAGTCTTCACATGCTTGTATACTGAACAGTCTGTATGTATGAAAGGAAATCTGGGCACTTGTCAGGCTGTCACATTCTCGTCGTTTAATATGCTAGGAAACGAAACAAGTAACAGACCTGACTGGTTGAAAACAACCGAAATCTCCCTTTGTTTCACTTGCACTAGTACATTGCAATTCTGATTCACTTTAATTTTATGCAACCATTTTCTTACCCCCATACTGCTACTATAAGCATGGTAATATTCATTAGAAAGAGAGGTCATTTGCACCTACACTGTCCACGTATATACAGCCATGGAGTTCTGTCTACTTGAGAGGAAGCATTCAGTTGAGTGCTTCCACCAATCATCTATTGTTTGAAACATTCAACAATCTTCCAATGTTATATGTAGTTGGTTAGTTTTCCAATTCAATTGGGTATGGAAATTTCCGGGATATGCATAAGGGTCGGTTTGGAAGGAGTACAAATGCAAATGCAAATTTATAGAATACAAAACCTTGCATTTTGTATGTATTTGTACTCTTTCCAAACTAAGCTCAAGAGTATATAACAACAGTTGCCTAAAGCACTTCCATTTTTGGATCCAAGTCCTAATATGAGACTCCCCGAATTGAATGTGGATTAATGCATGTGAAGAAGGGCTACCCTCTTTTTTGTGGCGCAATAAATAGAACCCAGAAACTTATAAGTATTTATTATTATATATTCTAACTCATTTTCCTTATTTGATCAATGGATGAATAAAGTTAGACGGATCCACATCGGAGTTGGAATTGTATAAGAACTGCTAATGTCATTCAAAATAAATCAAATTGGTTTCTAATTTAAACCATGCACAAACAGATCTTCATCAGGCTTGGTACATTTCTAGTCACACCCAAACAGATTTATCTTTTGCCAAACCTACACATCACATAAATCTTTGCTAGTTTTAGGGTAAAAGGAAGGACAAAAGAAAGAGAAGTAGAAAAAGGGCAGTGACATGAGTAGAAGAATATGGGATCCAATATTCTGCAGAAAAAAAGAGGAGGAAGAAAACACCAAAGGTTGCAGGTTCGACAATCAAATCTACGACTACGAGATATATTATAGCATAGGTACAATTTCATTGACATGATTGGATCAATCCTACACCGTACGAGCAAATACCTACCACACACACACAAATAGCTGTGTACTTTGGGCAGGTCACAGAATCAGTGATCCCACAATAAGCCGAGTCAGAGGTTGCATTTGCGTCCATGCCATGTCACGTCTTACTACCCACCGCAACCCAATACTGCCCTTTAATTTTTGCTACCCATCACACATGCTCCCATTCCCATACTATACAATCCTTAGCGGGGTGCAATTTGGGCGGGCTGGGCTAAGAATTGGATATAAGGTCCGTGTCCGAGGTCAAGTCCCAATTATTCAATAAATTTGATCCACTCGGGTTGTTTAATAAATTCAAATCGAAATTTAATGTATATAAATGGATGGATGTATATAGAAAATTGCATATATGTATTTGCATAGGTGGGTTAAACTTGGGTTAAGATAAGATAGGGCTGGACTTGGACTAGGTTCGGGTTATCTAAGAACTAAGCCTGGAGCTGGTCAAAAAAAAAAAAAAAAACTAAACTTTTGGGCCAGGCCCAAGTCAGGACCCTAAAATCGAAGCACAATTAGGGATGGCAATTTCTCCTTAAAATCGGGGCTCCGCCCCAAACAGGGTGGGTTTTTCCCGACCTTAAACAAGGACGGGGCGGGGATGGGTTTTGTATATAATTCTCCAAACCCAAAGGTAAATTAGTAAAATATCTCTAAGTTTAATATTGATAATTTAAAATATCTCTAAGTTTTCCCTAAATTTTTAAAATCCTAGGATCCCATAGTTTTATTTTTGAATTATCCCTTAAGTATTATAATTCAATTCTAAAATACCCCCAAATTCCTATATCCTATGTATAAATTGTCCATAAAATAGATAATTTTTAAATAATTGCCTTGGAGCGAGGAAAATTCGGGGATTCTCCGTCCCCGATGGGGAATGGATGCCCCACCCCGCCACCGAGGACAGGGCAAGATATCATGACTTCGGGGTAGGGACGGGGAGGGGGTGCCCCGCCCCATTGCCATTGGGTTAGGCCTATCCAATTTGCACCCCTTACAATCTTCTAAGAAAGTAAACTTCAGAACAATGGATGCTAGAATTCGGGACTTGGGAGAGAGAAAGGGGGCAACTCCTTCATGGTATTGATACCTTTGGGTGGATTCGAGTTGAATCGAATATTTAATTATTCGAGTTTGGTTTGGTATAAAAATATGAACTTGGGCTCAAACTCGATTTGAACTATAAACTTGAACTCAAATACAGCCCAACTCAAAAATTATACACACATATAAACAATTGTTTCTTATTATATATTATAAAAAAATTAAAAAAACTACTTATATAAAAATTAAAAATATCATATATATATATATATATATAGGGACATCTATGATATGGAAAAAGTAACTTTTCCATATCATATCGGATGAGATGGACCAATCAACTTTCGACTTTTTGTTTCTATGAATACAGGTTATCGCAAGTAACCTAACAACAATTAAAATCACATTTGAAAAAAAAAAATCATTAACTTACGGAAAAGTACTGACCATCTTTCTCCCTGATATCTTCAGCTCACCACCCCTGTTGAATCATCGTTGACAGCAATGGTTTCTCTTCGGTGTCACCTCGTCACCCTTGTGCTTCTTCAATTGATCCTCTTGCTCTCTCACCCTGTCAAATATGATGGTAAGCATTGTCTCTCTTCCTTTCTTTTCTTAATTTTGTTCTTGCAGATCTTTTACTTTGATGGGTTTGTCATGTTTGGTTTTATTTCTCTACCAATTTCTATATGTTCATCATTCTTTCATTCTTGCGTGATTTGGGTCTTCATTTCAAGTTCCAAGCATATGGGATCTCTTTATCTTCAGTGGTTGCATTGCAAATCTGAGTTTGCTGATTAATGGGATTTTTCTGATAGAGTAACATTCGTTTGGTTGGGAGGAAGATCCTGATGCCTGGTTCTCCTAAAATGCCATTAGGTGACGATCTGAATGCATTGTGTCTGAAAAGGGACCTGGATAGGGGAGAAAAATGCATGTTGCAAATATCTATTTGACTGGGTACCATGTTCTACAATGTTACGGTCTCTCTCTCTCTCCCTTGTAGTTCAATGATTCAAGAACTGGTTTTGAGATTTTTTTCGTTTTTATTGCCGGGCTCTTGTCTATCAGACAAGTGCTCTGAAAGGATACAGGAGAAATACATATGTACTATTTGCAAGAGCATGATCATTACTAGATTCTAGTTTAGGTCTAAATTCTTGTATTTTAGATCTAGATGTTGTTGGGAAGGAGATAACAAAAGATGGGAACTAATAATGGGTCCTTCAAGGAGAAGGTTCTTTCGTGTCTAGAAGTCTATAACAAATTGTTGAATGTGTCCTGAATTTGATTCCCATGATCTATATCTTGAATTACTGGAAGAAGATAATAACGTAACGGAGTATTCGGTTAATGGATAAGTTAAAGACTTTTAAATTTTAATTAACATATAAAAAACCAATTACCGGTTACTTAAATAAACCCGGTAACTGTTGTATATGTGGCAATAGTACAAGTTTTAGATATCATATAGTTTTTCATATCATAGTCGGACCTATTTCCATATAAATATAGAAATGGTGTCTCTTTATCCTATGCACTGTTCTCCTCAAAATAAAAAAACAATATAAATTACAAAAAAAAAAAAACAAAGAAATACACAAGCATTTACAAAAAGAAAAGAAAAAAAAATTCATATACCATGCTAATAAAATGAGAATGTGAAATATACAAAAAAATTACAAAAAATATAGAAAATCATAAAAATTTCTATACCATGTATATCTTATATACTAAAAAATGAGAATGTTGCAATTGGTTTGTGTCAAAACACCCTGATTTTACTTTCCAACTTTACCCTCAACTTTCTATTTTTTCCATTATATATATTGTCACTACAAAATATCTCATATACTAAAAAATGAGAATGTTGCAATTGGTTTGGTCAAATCACCATGATTTTACTTTCCAACTTTACCCTCAACTTTCTATTTTTTCCATTATATATATTGTCACTACAAAATAATTATGAAAAACATAAAATGAAGAAAACAATATAAATTACAAAAAACAAAAAAAAATACATTGAAAATTAAAAAARAAATGTAGAAAATCATAGAAACTTATATATCATACTGAAAAATGAAAATGGTGCAATTGGTTTGGTCAAAACACTCTAACTTTACCCTCAACTTTCTATTTTTCTCATTATACATGTTATTGCAAAATAATTATAAAAAAGCATATAAAATGAAAAAAATAATATAAACTATAAAAAACAAAGAAATACATAGAAAATTTATAAAAAAATAGAAAATCATAAAAATTGAAGAAAATAACATAAATTACAAATCTATACCCAATATATAAAAACATAGTCAAATATCACCATAAATTACTATACAATTAACTCCTACTCTACAATACTATTGTACTTTGTATGCTTTCATAAAAAACTCCCAATTACATTAGAGTCCTATTTTAGGTGATTTTACTTGAAACCACGGATGGTATTCGGGTTTCAATTGGGTGTCAGGTAGGTCCGGACTCTGGAGGGCTGGACCCATAGTATATGACAGACTGTACGAACACATACATACATGCGTCAGTTGTGGGTTGGGACCCGGCACCTTTTAATTTATTTTATTTTTTGTTGGTACATGGCTTTGGCCCCTTGCAGTTGTAGCCCAAATGACTTTCATCCACCCAGTGTTAAGTGTTAACCAATCCTGCCATCTCAAATTCTCAAGTCATATATATTTATTACATAAAAGTTCCAATCCAATGGCCAGCTTGAAGTTGAAACATGAATGGAGCAAGAATATTGACTCTTTCTCTCGCTGGTTTGTTTCCATCAAGTGATAAGTGATGTTTGATCATTGATGAAAGGAAAAGAAAGGTGGGGGGGTGGGGGAATTTACCAATAAGCCCTTGAACCTGTTGTCCTCTACTCTAACTCTAGTGCTTATATGTATATGTTTATAAGAAGACAACCAAGTGAAGTCGTTATTCACCCAAGCACTCGTGAAGTGGCACGTTAACATTGCACCTTTTAATTATTGAGCCAGGACACGAGGACCAGGATATCCTACACTTTTTTTAGTTTCCTACACTTAACCCCATCCGGCTTTTCAGCTTTTCCATTATAACAGTACGTGTGCAAAGATGCAGAGTTACTGATTTTTCATATAAGGCCTGGACACCCGTCACACAGTGATTGGTTGACGTAGAGTGCAGGAAATCGGATGTCGTCTTTAAAACCGACCAATGTGAGTCGGTTCCACCTAAATGATTATGATTCCAATCAGGTGGGACCCGTTTCATTGATTCTCAGGAAAATCAGATACACGACGAGTTATGAGGCCCACGTTCCCGTTCTTATTCTATGCTGATGGGCTGATGGCGAGATTAACAACTTTTTCATCACAACAACAACAAGGCGGTTTAAAGTGATTCTCTAAATTTAAGGCACCCCACGTTGATAACTTAGGTAGCAAGTGATAATTTTGAAAAAAATGGCAAAGGAAGAAAACCGGTAGTTGAACTTGAAGTTGAAGTGCTCCCCGTGAATTGACTACCGCCCCGGCCACGAGTCCGAACCCGATACCCGATTCGAGGTGAGGCCCGGCCTGACTGCCGTGTTGTATATATATACTAACCGCGCACTTTTGTGCAACCCTTAAGCAGAAATTCGTGGACATAAGCTAAATTGCACATTTTATACTGCAAGAGAAAAAAGAAAAGAGCACTGCCCAAGCTACCCGAACTGCCCGTCCTGTGCTACCAAGTACACCCTTCGCTTTGCCGTCTGGCGTGGTCTCAACTCTCAAAACACCATTTCGTTTGTTTCACAGGTCTCTCCCCAGATCGCGAAATCCTCGCTTGAAAGGCGGCTCGAAATCTCTTGATTTCGTTCTTCGGATTAATTATCTTCCTACCTGGATCTGAACTAGGGATTACGAAGCTTCAATTCGTTTGTCGAATCGTTCTCTGACGCATGCAAATTGAGCCCTAATCTCGGATTTCCTTTGTTTCGAGGCGACGCATGAGCTTAAATTAGGGTTTTTGTTTTCAGTTAGGGCTCGGAGATGCTAATAGGTGTTTTGGGGACGGATCTAGGGTTTCCTGCATCGCGAATTACCAGAGTATTCTAGGGTTTAGTCGTCGATCGAACGGTGGAATTACGACGGTATTGATGTTTCTCGTTCGGGACGAAGGTGGGATCGAAACTAAAATCGGCGAAGATGCAAGGTTATTATGCATGGGCGGGAAGGTGAGGAGAGGAAACGGAGGCGGCACATGTGGCCGGTCCCCGCGCTCGGTACGACGACTGTAGCTTCTGATTCTACTATATCTACCGTTGATTCCATCTTCAAGGTATAACTCGATTCCCCTCCATGTATTTTGGGTCTTCGTCGTTGTTCCGATTCTGCTTTCGCCTTTCCGTCGATTTGGTACATGCTGATTGGTTGGCGTTCTTTTTTTGTTAGGGCCTTTGCTTAGATAGGTATCAGGTAGAGAAATGAGGTGGACTTTGGGAATTATAGGATATCGTTCACCGCAGATGGATTCCGTATTGGCAATTATCTTGCTTTCTTTCAGTTTCTGTTTTATCCAGTGGATTTTGAGGAAAGGTTCGAACTTTGTCCCATGGATTTGCTCTTATTAGGATTTATAGTCCCATATCATTTTTCCAAGGCTCCTCTTTCTTTGCTACGGATGGAGGGGTTAGATTTTGTGCAGAAACGTGAGGTAGGGATCGATATTTGGGCAGAAATGGGCATTTTGGTGTTGAACCGTCTTGTAGGATTTTGTGTGAAAGGTGACTATAACTTTTGAGTCTACCAGTTGGGTTATAAGCTACTTAATAATTTGTACCAGAGGTGCTGATTTTGGTAAATCTTAGATTGTCCTGCAGCTTTTTATTGGTCATGCTCTGTTTGGTCAAAGTTTTCAATGGATTTGATGGGTTTTGATCTGTATTGGGATCATTGAGAGCTTAGATGGAGATTGCTAATAGTGGAGAAAATTTGGTGAATAACCACCAACTTAAAAGGTTTCTTCATATTGTCCTCATAATTTCTTTATACTATTAGCTACTTGAGTACCTTACCTTGGTGTGTCTGGGCCATTAAATAGTAACATTGCCAAAATGTCCTTATGCTCATGCCTATTAAGTAGTAACCTTAGAAGTTTAGCGGGCAATTGTGTGTCCTACTTTGAATCAGCTGATTTTCATATAAGAGGCTATAGATCAATCTGACAACTGGGTCTTCTTGAATTTCAATTGGGGCCTTTGGTTTTGATGATTATGTTACTATCCTTGGATGCATACTTAAATGTGTGATCTTGACTATTTAGGGAGTATGTGATGGTGCCTTCCACCATTTTGGGGCCATATGCAGTATTTAAAGGTCCACAGCATTCATTTTGATGTCATTTGGAACCTGAGATGTTTATCTGTAATGTTCTTGTTATGTAGAAGACATGGAGCATTCAGACATATATACAAATAGATACATGATAAGCAACTCTTGGTAGGTAATGGTGCTTATTTGACAGAATTGACCTGTAAGGATAATTTATTTTCTCAGGGTTAAAGGATCATTCATGGAACTGTCTTTTAGTTTAACTTAAGTGATAAATCTGAGGATTACCTGAAGAAGTGTCAGTGGTATATTTGTAGCAATAAAAAATATAGACATTTAGGGTATTTGGAATATCTTTGCCTCGAATAAATTTACAAATTTCTTAGAATAATAATTGATTTTCTTATAAAGGATCTAGTAGAGCTTATTTTGCTTTAGGATATTGGGTTGATTAGTTTTATTTGTTGAAGTGTATCTAACAAAATGCTTAAGCGAGGAGGCTCTCAATGTGTGGAAGATATTTATCCAATTATCCTTCTTGTAGTTCTGTTGATATTGGAGAGAACCACTATTTGTGTGTTATTTATTCCACTGATCATTTAAACTAGAGGCTTTTGGATTTTAATGGACCATTTTCTGCAACATGAATGACATTGTGTCATAACAACGAGCCACTCAATCACTGGAGTGATGCTCTATCAATGAGCTACATGTCCTTATTGGATAGGTAAGAGCTGGTTGTATAAAATTAGACCAATATACTGTAGGATGATTTGTCTCATTCGATGTCTAGAGCTAGGCATTTTAAATCAAAATAACTATGATATCCTGATGCCTGTAAAGGGTGCTGTATCGTGTCCAATACTTAAATTATTATTGTAAATTTCCTATCTGATACCATATATCCAATGATGTCCTTTAAGTAGTGGCAAGGATGGTGTGCAATGTTAAAAAGAAAATACTGAGAAAAGACGGACAGACACCTATGTGTTAAAACTTGGAAGATTTTTCTAAGGCAAGTGTGACATGAATGTTGTTTAGCAATAGAGTGAGATAGTGGTCATAAATGCATATTCCTGCATAGTCTTATTTTGAATGGATGACTTCAAGTCTTGGACATGTATAATTGGAAACTTAAAAGTTTCTGATTGATGACAAAAGTATGAAATTTGAACTTGTTTGAATTTCACATTTAGAACTTGAAAAAATATTGAAAAGGTTATTTCCATATATATAACTAAGATTTATTCCTATGAAAGCTCATTTTTTATCTTAGTAATCTTTTTGTATGTAGGCCTAGAGTTTGCTTGTTGGCCCTTGTGAAGTATCTTATTGAACAGGGTTTTGTACATGTTTTTTTTTTCAGATTAATATACTACTTTACCTTTTTCTCAAAAACTATTATTCCTCTGAAAGCTATTACTATATGGTACTTCAAGGCAGCAAACAATATTCCGAAACTTGTGCTTGCCTGTATAGTTGAGTCCCACTAATTATGTGGTTCTATCTCATTTACTGTATAAAGATCTCTTATCTTTGGGGTTTCCTTCCTCTAAATCATAATAAATTATAATAGATACTATTTATCAAAAAGAATATTCATGCTGTCACACACTTAGTATTCCTGTACTTATCACTTAACAAAAAGCAAATATTATGTCTGTTGTTAGTGATTCTGTAGTTGTGTTATATCATCTATGTGTATCACCTTAACTTATTTTATTTTTCACTGAAGTTTGTCCTGTTTTGTAGGATGGACGCAGGATTAGTATTGGTGATTGTGCACTTTTCAAGCCCCCTCAAGAGTCCCCACCTTTCATTGGAATAATTCGTTGGTTAACCGGAAAAGAGGACAATATAAAATTAGGAGTTAACTGGCTCTATCGACCTTCTGAAGTAAAGCTAGCTAAAGGCATTTTGCTGGAGGCTGCACCAAACGAAGTCTTCTATTCTTTCCACAAGGATGAGATACCTGCTGCATCATTACTCCATCCGTGTAAAGTCGCATTCCTTCGTAAAGGTGTTGAACTTCCTTCAGGGATATCCTCATTTGTGTGTAGGCGAGTATATGACATTGCAAACAAGTGTTTATGGTGGCTAACTGATCAAGATTATATCAATGTAAGTGCCTGGTTTGTTGTTTGATCACTCCTTTCTGTAAGATTTTTAGTTCTTTTAAACATCCTATTAAATTTTCTGCAGGAGCGACAGGAAGAAGTGGATCAACTACTAGACAAAACACGACTAGAAATGCAAGCAGCAGTGCAATCAGGAGGGCGTTCTCCGAAACCATTGAACAGTCCGTCGTCAACACCGCAGTTAAAGCCTGGTTCAGATAGCGTACAGAATAGTGCATCATCATTCCCCTCTCAAGGCAAGGGAAGGAAGAGGGGGGAAAGAGGTGATCAGGGCTCTGAGCCCATTAAACGGGAACGTTTGTCAAAAACAGATGATGGAGATTCTGGTAATTTTAGACCAGAAAACATGCTTAAATCTGAGATTGCCAAAATAACAGAGAAAGGGGGACTTGTAGATTTTGAAGGCGTTGAGAAATTGGTTCAACTTATGCAACCTGACAGGGCTGAGAAAAAGATAGACTTGGCTGGCAGAATAATGCTTGCAGATGTGATTGCAGCCACTGATAGGTTTGATTGCCTTGGACGCTTTTTGCACCTCAGGGGGCTTCCTGTGTTGGATGAGTGGCTACAAGAAGTGCATAAAGGGAAGATTGGTGATAGCACTAGCCCCAAAGAAAGTGATAAATCTGTGGAAGAATTTCTCCTAGCTTTGCTTCGTGCACTTGATAAGTTGCCTGTTAATCTTCATGCACTACAGACTTGTCTTATTGGCAAATCTGTAAACAACTTGCGTAGTCATAAAAACTTGGAAATCCAGAAAAAAGCTAGGAGCTTAGTTGACACCTGGAAGAAACGTGTTGAAGTAGAAATGAATATAAATGATGCAAAATCTGGGTCGAGTCAAGCCGTTTCATGGCCTAGCAAGCCAGGTTTTACTGAAATTTCCCATGGAGGAAGCAGGCGCACAGGGGGATCATCTGAAGTTGCTATAAAGAGCTCTGTTGTACAGCCTTCTGCATCTAAAACAGTATCAGTTAAGGTTGGCCATGGAGATTCTGTTAAATCAGCATCAGCATCCCCTGGGTCGGTTAAGATGTCAACACCGTCGCCTGCATCAATGGGTGTTAGCTCAAAGGATTTGCACTGTAAGATGGGAGGTAGTGGTGGCACGACAGATCTACCTTCTGCAACACCAAGGGAGGAGAAGAGCAGCAGTTCAAGTCAATCTCAAAATAATAGCCAATCTTGTTCAAGTGATCATGCCAAAACTGTGGGATCCTCTTCAAAGGAGGATGCGAGGAGTTCCACTGCTGCATCCATGAATGTGAATAAGACCTCCAGTAGTGCTTCTCGACATCGGAAATCAAGCAATGGTTATACGGGGACGGCTGCTTCCGGAATTCAGAAGGAAACTGCCTTGGGCAAATGCAGCTCTTTGAACAGGAATTCCAACTCAGAAAAAGTATCACAATCTGCAATTACATCTGAAAAACCTCATGATATGCCTAGTGTTGATCATGGAAACAGTCACCGGCTGATTGTTAGATTTCCAAATCCTGGACGAAGTCCTGCACGGAGTGCCAGTGGGGGTTCTTTTGATGATCCTTCCATCATGGTTAGCAGAGCTTCTTCCCCAGCACTATCCGAGAAGCATGACAATTATGATCGAAAAGTAAAGGGAAGGAGTGATGCTTTTCGGGCTAACAATGTAGCAGATGTAAATACAGAATCATGGCAGAGCAATGATACGAAGGATGTATTGGCTGCATCTGATGAGGGTGATGGATCTCCTGCTGCCATTCCTGACGAGGAGCGCTGCAGAAATGGTGATGAGATAGGTAAAACAGTGGAAGCATCTAAAGCCACCTGCTCATCATCAGGAAATAATCCCAAATCAGGGAAATCATTTGAGGCATCTTTCAACTCCATAAATGCTTTGGTTGAGAGCTGTGTTAAGTACTCTGAAGCAAGTGCTTCTATGTCAGCTGGTGATGACCTTGGAATGAATTTGCTTGCCAGTGTTGCAGCTGGAGAAATATCAAAATCTGATCCGGGGTCTCCAATTGGTTCTCCTGGGAGTAGTTCGCCAGTAGTAGATGACTCCTATATGGGTAATGATGCAAAGTTGAGGTTATCACGAGAAGATGTTGGGGATCAACGTCAAGGCCAGAGTGACGATGGCAAAGATTATGATATTGAGAAGCATGGTAATGTTGTTGTTTCTTCACTGGTTAAGAAGAGATTTGGTGTATGCTAATATATCAATTTATACCTTTTTTTTTATGTTTTCAGGAGGCAGCAAAGCAACTTTATCTTTGCCTGAGGAGAAGAAGCCAACTGTAGAGTACAGTGAAACTTCCAGCATGGTTTTGCAACCAATTGCAGACTCATGCTTGAAGTCCGAAGGAAGACCCAATGAGACAACAGCAACTTCTATGGATGTGTCAAATGCAGAAGTGAGAGAGGATGCTATGGATTGTGATGGAGCCACCCAACTTGATGAGAAAAAGATGTCAGGTGTTGTTGGGGTTGGTAACGATGGTGGACTGGATATGAAATCAAAGATGAAGAGTGGTTTGTTAGATGAAAAGAAGAAAGTTGATAATGTAGATGAAGAGATAGCAGATAGTAGTATGCCAGTAGCATCAGACTTGGTTCATGGTTCTGCAGGTGTTGAATGTGATCTTGAGAACACTACTTCAGTTACGAAAGTCGAGAAGGAAGTTGTTGATGAGTCATCACAATTCCCATCTTTAGAAATGGATGGTGGAAACAAGAATGTTGTGCATGAAGGGTTGACTTCTGGCATTTCAACTGAACAGAAGCCACTAACTGTTCATGCAAATTGCCCAGAGACTACAGGTGAGAATGGTGATGATACTGTACTTCCTTCTGGTTCTGGTAAAGGTTTGGGGCCAGAAAGCATTAATGAGGTGAAGGGTGAAAGGGCTGATAACATGGAGATTAGGAGTCATGGAGAAAAAAATGAGAACCAGAGAAAGGAGCAGGTAAGTCCAGTCATTGCAGATCACAAAAATGAAGCTACTGAGGATGATTCAGACAAAAAGGATGTTGTTGATGGAGAATCCACTCCTCATGGAGAACCACCCACAGTTATTGTGCAAGAAACTGACCAGGGCTTAAAATCCAATGGTGCTGAAGCAGATGATAAGGAAGAATGTACATCTGCTGCAGAAGCCTTGTCTGTTGCTGCAGGATCGGACATGTCTGCTAAGCTGGACTTTGACTTGAATGAAGGTTTCCCCGTGGATGAAGGGAACCAAGGAGAGCAAGTTACTTCCTCTGCTGTCCATCTGCCTAGCCCTCTGCCCTTCATAGTTTCTTCAATGTCAAGTGGTCTTCCAGCTTCAATTACAGTAGCTGCCGCTTTGAAAGGACCTTTTGTTCCTCCAGAAAACCTACTTAAGAGCAAAGGGGAACTTGGGTGGAAAGGATCAGCTGCTACAAGTGCATTTCGTCCAGCTGAACCTAGGAAGGTTCTGGAGATGCCACTTGGTACAACCGATACCCCTACAGATGCCACTGCAAATAAACAAAGTCGTCCTCTATTGGATATTGACTTGAATGTAGCTGATGACCGAGGTCTGGAGGACACGGCCCCTCAGAGTTCTGCACAGGAAACAGGTTCAGGATCTGGCACTGGTAACAATCGTGATTTGGGACGGGGTGAGATGCTCAGTTCTTCTACACCTGCTCGTAGTGCTGGACTTGATCTTGATTTAAACAGAGTTGATGAGAGTACTGATATTGGACAGTTCACAGCAAGCACTAGTCGTAGAGTGGATGTTCCTATATTGCCAGTTAGGTCGTCATCATCCAGTGGACATTCTAATGGTGAAGTTAATGTCCTGAGGGATTTTGATTTGAACAATGGACCAGGCCTTGATGAGATGGGCACAGAACCAGCACCACGCAGTCAGCATGCAAAGAGCGGTGTACCCTTTCTGCCACCTGTTGCTGGGATAAGAATGAACAATCCTGAAATAGGAAGCCTTTCATCATGGTTCCCTCCTGGGAACTCCTACTCAGCTGTGACCATCCCATCAATCTTGCCTGATAGAGGGGAGCAGCCTTACTCCATCGTTGCAACTGGTGGAGCACAAAGGATATTGGGACCACCTACTGGTGGTTCAACTTTTGGGCCTGATGTATATAGAGGGCCAGTGCTGTCATCTTCTCCTGCAGTGGCCTTTACCCCTGCTGCCCCATATCCATATCCTGGGTTCCCTTTTGGCACCAGTTTTCCTCTACCCTCAACGTCTTTCTCTGGGGGTTCAACAACCTACATGGATTCTACTTCTGGTGGAGGTCTTTGTTACCCTTCACAGTTTGTAGGGCCTGCTGGCACATTAACACCTCATTACCCCAGGCCCTRTGTGATAAGCCTTCCAGATGGTTCATCCAATGGAGGGGCTGATAGCAGTAGGAAGTGGGGAAGGCAGGGCCTAGATCTCAATGCAGGTCCAGGGTCTACAGATATAGAAGGGAGAGATGAGAGGTTATCTTCGGCATCAAGGCAACTCTCAGTGGCTAGTTCTCAGGCCCTAGTAGAGGAACAAGCAAGAATGTATCAGGCAGCAGGTGCAGTGCTGAAAAGGAAGGAGCCTGAAGGAGGCTGGGATGCAGAGAGGTTTAGCTACAAACAATCCTCATGGCAATAGGAAGGTTAGGAGGCTTTGGGAGAACAATTGTGCAAACCATGGAGGCTTGGTAAGCCATCAGTCTTCTGTTCTTATGACTTAACTGTATACCATGTCATAGGATTACTGCTACTTTTAGTGTGTTATCACTATGTTGGTTGTGCTCAAGGTTGCACACCAAATGCCATATGCCTGAGCTTTGTAGGATCTCATGCAGAATCCTGAGCCTGGGGGCCCTTAACATGTCGCTTATTCAGAGGATCAGCTCCACTGTAAAAATGCACTTGCTATCGACTTTTCTTGGCCAGCTAGTGTTATATTGGGAGACATCCAACATTCCAATCCTCAAATATGCAACATGTGGCAAGTTATGTAGGCCCAGGCTGCACTCAGTCCCATACAACACCCAGATCCAAGCCATCCCTCTTGTGTGCTTACATGCATGCATTGAGTAAGTTATACATATTTTAACATGGATCATGTTGTTAGAGCCTTGAGCACTGTAAAGAAATTGCTCCGACTGGAATCTTACAATTATGGTTTCTTGACTTTCTTCTGGATTTTTTTTTAGTTCTGATTTCTTGTAAAAATTTGATGTTTCAGGATCTATTGGAAGGATTTTCATGCATTTATTACTGTATTTGTTGTCTCTTTGTTCTTCACTAGGTCTCTCGGGATGAGCTCCAGCTAACACCAGGAGGAGGATGTAATCGGTGGGGTCTTGGAGGATGGGTGGTAAGTGAGTTTCCTTCAACATGTTCTAAGTCTCCGACCACCACCTCTTTCGTTGTACCAACTGTAACTTAAGAGAATCGGTCGGGGTCCTGAAGCTGTTTGTTCCTTGGATCAGTTCTGGGTGGGTGGCCTCTGCAAATCAGTTTCCTTTTGTAGATATTTAACTGTTGAAAAGCATGTGTGCTATGTTACCCAGACACTAGTCAAAATTGGTGCCTCGACTGTTATCTGTCGGGTCACACCCTGCTTCGCCTCCGGGTGCAGCTTTTTCTATGAATGGGGTTGGGTGTATGAACTGGCCTGATCAGAAGCCCTTCTATATTTTTCTTTACTGTTAATTTATATCTTTTTCTTGCGTATATAGTTATAATCTAGCCTTTGACCCAACAATTTTGGTAATTGAAGTTTGCAGTTCCAGTCCTTGATTTGGCATGTCGTGGTGATGGCCATGTGATGTATTTATTATTTTAACCCTGAAAGTTGTTGCCTCCAATGATGCCATACACGAAATGAAACGACAGCGTGTTAGATTTGTTTGGCCTTGGTGGTGCAAGCAAAATGTGCTATTGATGGATGAAGATTATCAGGAAGCATGACCAAAAATTACTCTGAAATTTGTTTGGTGTATTCTTTATTCGTGAGAATTATACAAAGTGCTACGAGGTCTCCCTGGTATATCAATCATGAGTTGTAATGCATTGCACACCTGGCATATTCGTATTCTTTCTTGCTTGCAGCCTTGATCAAATTATCGCAGTAGTTGCTAGTTGGGAGAGGAAAAGGGGTTTACTGGTTTACCCTTAATCAAGAACTGATGAACTAGGAATGCAGCATTCCTACTCCTGTTCGGCCTTTCTATTTGAGAAAGCATTATTTACTTGATGATCGCACTAGTTACTGTTGGGATTATCTGTTGAGTGAGTGAGCTTTGGGGATGAAGCTATCGGACCAAACTAATATTATTGAGTTTTCTGTGCAGCGTGCGTCTGCAGTGGTTGTAACTTGTAATTTGCAGAGTTTTAAATGTAGATGATGCTAGATAGATCCGGTTTAGTTACATCTCGTTATTTTCTTATCTTTTGGAGGAAGAAAAGAGCGGGCCAGGAATGCTACTCTTTGAAGTTGTATTCTAGGCTCTAAGTATGAATTGCCATTAATTATCGTTTGTAGACAGAATGGACTGGTGACCGTGGTTTTATAGTTTATTATTGTTGTTTTACTGAATACAGATGTAGGGTTTTCTTTTGGGCGTGAAGCCATGGACTGGACAGCAAGCAGTCAGTAACCTAGCCGGCTCTCCGGTCCAGTCCATGCAATTTCATTGACTTGGAGTCTTGAATATGCGGTTCGACATTTGGGGGGTATTCTGTAGTGTGGATGAGAGATTGGTGGGTATGGATTGGTTCACACATCCTGTGGCAAGGATCAATCCACATCACACCATAGTCTACAGTTGTTTTGAACTGTGGACAAATTGTGTGGATTGGATCGGTTCACACCCACAGTGGCATTCTGTAGGTGTGGTGTGTACTAGTCCACATTTTTTGATTCTATGTATCTCATAAACATTTAAGAATGATTTACACTACCATTTAAAAAAATGATCTGGAAATGGAATCGTTCTGGCCACTGGTTTTCAAGTCGATGGTTCAATCGTCCAGTTTGAACAGACAGCCCATTCTAACAAACAAATTAAAAAATAAAAAATAATTAAAAATAAAAATGGTAAAAAATCGTTGAATGGGTTGACGATTCGTCTGCTCGTGTCAACGGATTGTTGACTTTTTCAACGATTTTTGGCCAAAACTCGGTTTGGGGTAAAACAGAACCACTTGTTTGGATGTTTCTCGGGCCGAATAGTCCGACCGTCCGGGTCAACGGTGGTTCAAAAATCTTGATCTACACAGTTAATCATAAATATCTAATTTTTGCATTTTATATGATAAATATATTGAAAAAATGCATCAATGAATTAATATTAACCAATAAATATTAATTTTTTATAAAAATAATAGTAAAATAATTAAAATTTAAAAAATATATTTTAAATATTATTTTATTGATAAAACATTGAAATTTAAAAAGTTAAGTAAAATAATTAATATTTTATTGACAAATATATTAAAATGTCAAACAAACAATAAGGTTTCAGCTTTTCAGGGGAAGTGTGAAGTAGGGGATCAAAAATCAAGTGTGGACAGTCCCTAACCACGAGATTTTGCCATGGGTGAGAAATTGTGGTGTGGACGGGACCGAAATACCGCTTTAGACGATCTCCATTTGTGGCTGTGGGTGTTTGTTTTGTCAAACTTTCTGTTGTCGTGGGTCCTATGTTCTCTGGAAATAGCAAATAGGAACTACATTTCAAGATCGGCTTCAATTAGTGCAGGCTCCGCTCGAACAACCTTGCACTGTGCACCTTATTTCATGGAGAGATATTCCCAATACAAGCCCCTAAAGGCTGGTCGAACGGGCCTTGCACTGACTGAAGCTGAGTTCAGTATAGTGTTTTCGCTATTGTAAGGTTCTACTATCTCTATGTCTCTATTTCCCTTTGGTTGGTACTTGGTAGTGTCTTAGGCTGCCTTGCCTCAATTTATCACATTAAAATCGGGGTTTGGAAATTTGTGGTGGATGATGACTCTGTTTAGACCTGGCAAAAAGTTAACCCGACCCAACCCAACCCGAAAAAGCAGGTTAGGGTCTCATGTTTAACTGCCCGAATGCGAAAAATGACCCGACCCGACCTGACCCGACCCGATTGTCAAGTCTAGTTGGGATTATTTATGTATTGTTAGAAGTTTCCACTCTTTAATTTTTTCTATTTAGTCTTTAGTTTTTATTGTTTACTCTTTAAATTGTCAAATGTTCAAGTTTTTTATTTTTTTATTTGGAATTTTAAGGTTATTTCTTTTAATTTTGATATTTTTCATGTAATTTTTTTTATATAAATTTAATTTTTTTTGGGATGACCCGAATTGACCCATGGGTCAACCCTAACCGGAACATTTAGGGTTAGGGTCTAGCATTTGCCAACCCAACTCAAAAATCTACCCGACCCGAAATCAACCCAAACTACCTTAACCCGAACCCGAATCACCCAACCCAATTGCCAGGTCTAGCTCTGTCAGCTTAACTGTCATGAGCACACAGGAATTGTTACGCGGTACAATTTATTTTTCATCTTTTCCGTAATCCGTATTAACTTACCAGTCAGATTATGAGATACCATAAATCCATCGTATCTGAAAAAGTGATAACCAATCAACTGGTTTCATAAATGCAAAAGCAGTAATCAATCAATGTATTGGGTTGGGGTTGTGAAACTAGGCAATTCACCACCTTTGTTCGGGTGTTTTGTGTCACCCACTCCCATTTGAAGCTTGTGGGTTTTGACAAACGAATGTTCATTTTTCTAGTCTCAGGTCTCAAAGTCTCAACAAAGGCAAAGCCAACATTCGGTACAGTGCCTAACTAGTAATTAGGCAAGTGGGTCACATGTTCGGCTGTCTTGATCACATCACATCTGATGCAGCACTCCCTTGCAAGTTGCAATCCATCTCTTAATGAAATGTGGACAGGTCGGCAAAGGAAATAAACCCTTAAAAAAAGAAACCGTCACGTGAACTGCTTTTTTAATTTTCAAAACTGGCGTGCTCTGCTCAGTGCTCATGATGTTTCACCAGGGATTTTGGGGTCGCAACTCGCAAGGGCTTTTAGAAGACCTTCTGATCTGATCTGATCTGATCTGATCTGATCTGATCTGATCTCTGATGCATAATGGTACAAAGAAATTCTTTTACTCTACATTATTACCGTCGCAGCTCGCAGGTAAAAAAGCCCAAGCAAAGCAACAACCGGCATGATGAATGTACAGATTGATTCGTGGAYGGCTAGTGGGCCACTGATTAATGAGAGAGAGGAGCGGGCACAAAGTTGATAACATATTATTATTGGGTTTCATAGGAATTGAGAAGAAGTTAATAATTTTGATTGATGGCAAGAAGGAAAAGGGGGGGGGGCACGGTATTCGAGTCACAAGTGTCCAATTGTCCAACGATAGCACTAGCAGGTATCGTTATGGTTAGTTTAGGGGCGAGCATCCCATCCCATAGGCATAGATCCCTTTGTCTACTTCCAAAATGGTGATGTGGTTGGGCTTGGGGCGACCACAAACTTCAAATCATCATCAACACACTCGTATACCTAATAATGCTCACCCACCCACTTCCCTTTATATTTCATACCGAGGGCCCATCTACCATTAGAAAAGTCAGCCCACTTCCCTTTTCACATGACACAGAAACCCCGAGAGTGGTGGGCCCCCGTTTTTCATTTCAAACAAAAAAAGTTGAAAAAAAAWAATAATAATAATAATAATAATAAAAGTACAACTATGATCTATGAAGGGTAAGCGTAGGTGGTCCCCATCTCCCTTGAGGACTGTTGGTCCCGGGCTACCATCCATCCATCCTATCACATCAATATATCATATCATCCATTGTCATGTGTCATGTGTCATGTGTCATGTGTCATGTGTCATGTCTACTGCGATGGGATGGTCAATATTGAGGGGACCAAACCAAGGAAGCCCTCCCAAAATATTATTATGTACCCACTCTTCACCCTTTACGTCAATTATTCGCCATTCCAGTTCTGATCCTCTTATGGTTTGAATATAACATCTTACACCTGCGCCCTGAAAACGCCCCACAGCCGATCCCAGCCGTGTATTGGGAATATCTCCCAATGACGAGTACGGGTAATGTTGTTAGTGCACGCTGAGATGTGCTGTGGGGCGTTTTTGGGACGCAGATGTTAACTCTTTTGGCCTTTTGAGTCTAATTTTATGTTACGCCACTTTAGATTGATCTGTTTACTGACTTCCCAATTAATACTAGGGCAATTTTTATGGTATATTAGTAAAAGGTAAAAACTTTGCCGGAAAGATATAATACCGAAAGGGCTTTTGATACTTTAGGAGCAGTGATACTTAGGAGTTTGAATTTTCAATTGGGAGATTTTAGTATCACGAGCTTTTAGAAATATTCCAATTATGTTAAAATGAGAGTAAAATTACAAAAAATGCCTATATTTGAATAAAAGCATTTGAATGGAGCATTGAAACACATGAAAAAAAAAAAAGAAGATTTAATATGAATGCTTTTATAATTTTTAGAATTAGATTCAAATGTATATTTCTCAAAGTTTAGGATACTAAAATGTTGCATTTAACAGTTCATATCCTTTTAATTGTCACTACCCACCGATCTCTAATTTATTCCACTTTTATATTGCCGGTTGAATGAATACAAGGTTTTCCGACATGTAATGTTTTTCCAGTATGGTAGTGGAAACCATTATTATTAGGGTAAAATACATAAACCTCTCTTGAAATTTAAAACAATTATAAAAACCTCCCTTATAATTTTACATTAACACAAACCTTCGTTTATTGATTCAGAAGAAAAACCGATAAAATTACAAAATATTTCAAAATATCAAAACTGCCCCTACTTCCCCTTCCTCTCGATGCAGAACAAGGGAACAACGTGAAATCTTTCCCTTGATCTCCCCTCACTGGTTTTTTTCCTTGATCTCTCTCTCTCCTCTTCATCCCCACTTTCTCCACTCCCTTCCATCAAGCCAGAGCAACCAAAAGGAACTATTCATTCTT